CTAAAAATTTCTTTGAATGGCATGATGGGGCACAGATTAAGACACCAACTTCAAATAAGCATATTTGACCAATTTTTTTTCCCAAACAGTTATATTCTAAGGAATTTGCCAAATATCACCCAAAAGAAATAGAAAAATAGATTATAGAGAAAAACTAGGAAAATACAACCGGAGAAAAGAATAGAAAAATAGCACAAGAAAGTTTAGAAGCAGAGATGGAGCTGTTGTTGCTGTTGCTATTACCGAAACCTCCACCACCGGCAAATCATCGTTGAAAAAGCACTGCGAGACTCTATTAACTTTTGTTATATAAGTTTTGTGGCTGAAATGAGTCTTGGACTGTTGAAGCTGCAGTTTTTCTATCCGTATGGTTTGTTTGTTGGTGAATGAAGCTAAATATTTTTCACAAATCTGTTGCTCTTTTCCTTTTAATTTTCCTATTGATGAAACTTTGACAAAACTTTTGGGTCTAGTTTATGCAAATTTGTGAAAGAAATCTCAAATTTTCTAACGCCTATTAGACGCTTGATGAAATACCTGAAAAAGAACCTTCAATTAAAATGGAACAAGTTGGTGAATTTGTGCATATGAGGAGGAGTTCCTATTAGTCTAATGCTAACTAGAATTCGCTAGTGATGCCAATGAGCAGACTCGAGAGAGAAGTTGATACATTTTATAGTTAAATTTTTGTTTTATTTTTGCTGTTTCCCTTTCCATTTTCTTGATTGTTTTCGTGAAAGTTAGTGTATGTACTATGTATTGATGTTTGGGAAGGAAGAGGTGATGGCTCAATGTTGCTGGAGGTCAAGAAATATTGCCAGAGGAAAGAAGAAAATGCAACAATCATACTCTATTCAATCCAAATGGAAAAGATGATTAATTTTTGAAATTGCTATATTAGTCCTTAAAGTTTTCTAGCTTTTGAATTTGACCCATCCCTTAGTTTAGTTAGCTTTATAGATTGACCACAGTGCTTAGTTTTTATCAATTAGGTCCTAAGCTTAGATTAGTCAACTTTTTATTTAATCCATTTTTCCATTTGTCAAAGATAGTTGTAATTTAATTTATTTTCCTTTTTTAGACGTGATGTAACCCATAAGGGGCATAGGAGCATTTAACCCTTGTAATTTTCTTTATTTTCTTTCTTTTCTTTTAACTTTTTAATTCTTTTTGTTGTTATTGAATGCGATCGAGCGGGTCATTCCATGGCTTTTCCAATGAGGCCTTGGAATTAATCACATCATTTCATTTCACCTTTATGTTCTATGCACATTTTAATATGTTCAGATATTAATTAATTGCATGCTATGTGTTCAGCATAAATTAACTCAATTTTAGCCTTAAAATTAAGAGAATAATATTAAACTCATAATCGATATTGCCTAGTGTAAGGTTGCTCAAGAATAAAATTTCGACCTTTCCCCCTCACAAATATAGCTCTTGAATTCATTTCTCTGATTTCAAAAGACCTAGAGCTGTCTAGTTAAAGGGTTCCAATTTGTGTTTTTTTAAAAAAAAAATTAAATATTACCTTTTTAGGTGACTCGGTACACTTAAATCTAATATCGAGTGGCAATTCCAAACTTTTCAAATACCATTTTTCCAGATATTAGTAGACTAAAATCTGTCGCCTTTGCCAAGTCCAATTTTAGGCCATTTTCTTTTATTTTCCTTATTTTAATTTTGAAAAACCCAAAAAAATCATTTTTTAAAAATGAAGATTCTCAATTTTTATCGTTTTATTTTATTAAAAAAAGGGGTGCAATAGCTCCAAATCGTGGCGGATTTAGGGCGTGACATATTCTAAATAAATGTATAATTACTTGCAAATAGTACATGTATTTTCGAACTTTCAATTTTAATCCTCTATGTACCAAAGGAGAAAATAAGCCCAATAGATTGAAAGGATTTTTCTATAAAATATAGATAAGGAAAACCTTGTTAAATTACTTCATGGTGAACATCTTTAGCATCTTATCTATGTATTTTGAAGGCCTAGCAATCATGATCTACTGACATAGATCTTTACTTCTAAAGAGAAGATTGCTTCTCCTAAATATCATGGAAAAAATCTTAATCAGCTATACCTGTACTTTTGGAACATGGGTATATTTTTTTCCACCTATAATATGCCACCCATATACAAATAACAAAATTGCAAAATATTCCCCCTAAAACGTATGTAAACATAAGCCCCATCCATATTTTTTATAAAATTAAACTTTGATTGTCTTATCAAAACAGATGATACAACTCTTAGAAACTTATTTTATTAGTATTACAAGATGTAGAAACCTTCATTTATATAATTGTTTGTTATTTTTATTTAAGGAAAATGACTTTAATATCAATTTGCCATTTTAAAGCAAGTAAGCAAATTTAAAATAAATTTAAATGTATTAATTAGACAGTAGATTTTTTTCAAAGATAATTGCTTCTCTTTCATGGCAACCTTTGTACGAATCATGCTTTATAGATAACGCCTTTACCTTCTGTATTAGTCTTTACTCTATAGACTCTCTAGTGCATAATAGGCTTTATATCTTTAGGTGTACTGACTAAAATAAATATATTTTAGATTTATGATTATCAGCCATCTCTGTGAGCTTTAAAAACTATTTATAAGTCATTAAGGTTTTATCCTCCTTCATGATCAAAGCATCATGTTTTTCCACAAGAAATCTTATATTTCTAAGAAATTAGATATACCCTCCAAGACATGAAACCCTTGTTCTAGGAGCTTTCGCCGCACTTCATGATCATGAAATGCAAGCTCTAGTTCTATGGATTTATTCAACTTCGATTTATGACACTTGAAACTCTTTCAAATTCTAAATTCTATCTTTTTCCCACTACCTTATCTAAAATAAATTATTTTTCTAGAAAATAGTAGTTATAGAGAAAAACGCTTTTACTCATTAAGATGATAGAAATAGCATTCTTAAAGAAGATGGGGAAACTCAAACTTATGAAGTAGAGAGAGCTGATTTGTTCTTCTTCTTTTTGTCCAATTTTTCTTCTCTTTTATTTCTCAAGAACACTCCACAAAAGGTCTTAATTGGAACTAGTTCCAACTTGTCTGACTATACTTATTTGATAAGTAGGATAACCCAAATCTTTCACAAAGATTTAGATTTTTTAACACTCTATATCTCGTATAGTATACTTTAAACAAATATGTTTGGAACAAGTTTTAGCATCTAGGAGACAATTTTATCTAGGACAAACTCCAAAATTATTTTGGTGTACTTGCACGGTATATCTTATCTCATAAGATATAATTTTTTATCTAAATTACTCAATTTAAACAAGATATCTGGGAAGAATTACTTTACTTGTTAATCTTATTCTCCTTTAAATAATTTTGAAACCCTTGAATCAAGTATTTTTCACCTTTATCATATCTTAGTGTTCTAATACCTCACAATTAGTTTTTCTACTTTGTATTTTAACTTCATAATTTCTTAAATACTTTGAATTTGTCCTTAAAGCACATAGATGATATATCTATTTTGAGTAATCATTAATAAAAGTAGTAAAGTATGAGAAAACTCATTTAGCATGAATTGTTAGTATTCCATATATATAATTAATTATATATTTTAACAATTCTTTAAACTTTTCCAAATAAAAAGCCAACCGGGTCTTTCATTAGTAAATAAGATTCACATATTTCAAATAATTCATAATTAATTGAGTCCAAATAATTATCATCATGTAATTTGGAGATGCTGTTACTTATTCATATGACTAAGTTTATAAATGCCAAAGATAAGATAGTCTCAATTCATCTAACATTATATTGTGAATGGACTTTCTTTTATTTGAGAAAATAATAACACTTATTAGGTTCTAAAATAAGTCTACTAGATTAAGAAAGATAATTTATTATTGCATCTTAATGAAGTAACTTTTACTTAATAAAATTAGATACTTATAATCCTTTTCATGCAATTCACTTCGTTTAATCCAAGCATATCAAATACCTGGTATCTCATGCCCAAGAAACTTAATTTAGAAGTAAATATACTAGTTAATTTTAATTATAAACTTTAACTTAAAAATGAAAATTTCACAAAGTTACATTTAAGTTAAGTTGTAATTTCACAAGTAAATTTTTTGTCATCTTATAATGAAATTATTATTTAAAGGTATCATATATCCTAAAACTTGATTATGCATCAATCAACTTTTGAGATGACTAATTATGGCGTGAGAATATGAAACCATGACACACTATGATGGTTATAAGCAACTATGATACTGTGATGACCCCACCTTCTCCTAGAGTATACCCTAGAAGTTAACGGACCACCTGCCTGGCTCTTATCAGGACTCATTAATTTCACATTAACTTCAGAGATAACATTTTGTGAGGACCCGAATTTTTCTCACTTATAATTCTATTTTTATGGCTTAATTAATTATTTGCCCTCCCGTTTTCTTTGAATATTATTTTCTAATCTCTTTAGACCTAATTTCACGAATCTATAGCTTTGTTATATTTTTAAAGTGTCTCGTTTCAAAAATTAATTTTTGGAAGCCGTTAAGTGAAAATAGTGCACGTGCGTTTGGAACGATAACCGATTTGAGGATACACTGAGCTTGGAAAAAATTAGAGATACGTACATTAGTCTTAAAACAGATATTTTTATATTTAAGTATTCAAGTATTAGTTAGTGAAGTTATCGTTATAAGAATTCTTGGAGATTTCGCCGTACCGCACGAAAATTGAAAGTTCACGTATATCGAGGCGGAGCGGTAAATTGGAGATTTGAGAAATTATTCTAGACTATTAAGAGTGAATAATATTAACATGAAAACAAGTGCATTAGAAGTTTAATGCACTAGTGAAACAAACTGGAGAGGAATCGAGCACAAAACACGCGCGTGCGCACGCAAAGGAGAGTTGACCTTTGGACTAATTTGGGCCACACATTTTAAGCTTCTCATGGAAGCATCACACCAAATCAAAACTCCTCTCTTCATTACAGCAAAGAGGCGGCTGCAATTCTTTCTTTTTCTTCCTCTTAGCAGCCGTGCACTCCATGGAAGAAAAAGGCCAACAAATCTCTTCATTTCACCCTCAAATCTTCAACCAAATCACCTCAAATTTTTCATGCAACTTGCTAATCACTTGGTGAACAACTTAAGCTAGAAAATAGGCTCGATTCTCACCATTTTTCTCAGCTTTTAGAGGCCAAAAATTTCTGCTTAAGCCATCATCAAAGGTAATTAACGATCAAACCTTCAAATCTTGATTTATGGAAGTAGTATTGCACTTATGAGCTTGTAATTCCTTGTGGGTAACTTTGTTTATGTTGGAAATTGTTGAGTGGGCTCTATGAACTCCCACATTGACTTGAGGACTGATTTCATGGATTATGGTGTTAATAATGTTGGTTTAGTGCTTGTTAGACTAGAAATGGATGATATTATGTAGGAAAACTCAAAGGAGGTGCAATGGACAAAAGTGACCATTTTACCCCTGCCATGTTCATGCACTTTAGTGCGAATTTTTGAGGTTCTAATGACTTGTCTATGATGTATACATGTTATATGAAGTGTGTGAAAAGTTTCATTGAAAAATAACATGATTTGGTTGGTCAAATGTGTTGAATTCCAAAGTTCACCAAATCTGGAAAATTTTCCCGGATTGCCCAGGCAGTCATTTTGTATCGGCCATAACTCTTTGTTCCGATGTCGAAATCAAGTGCCGTTTGAGGTACTGGAAACTAGACATTTCCAGCTTTCCATTGGTATAAAATGCACGACCTAGTTCCACTCGAGTGAGCCAAACCATTCGTTTGAAAATTGCTGTCCTGTTTCGTTGCTCTTCAGGAGGCAGGACATGAACTGTAACTTGATGCTCAAAAACGAGTTGCTTGTGAATAGATTTTGAAAATGGTTTCTTCTGAGAAATTCTAGATTTCTAAAATATCTTTTTAATGCCACCAATCACGCTCAATTCTGAGTTGAATTGAGTGAGTTGTGTCCATATTTCGAAACTGATGCAGTGAGTAAAAATCCTCTTTTTGGCTAGTAAAGGCCTAACCCTTGGTTGGGACTTGTTGTTTTGAAATTCTTGGTGTTAATCACCTACCAAATGTATCTTGGATTCTTATTAGACCTGGTTATCACAAATGAGATATGTTTTAGGCATTTTATTGGCCAAAGGTTTTAGAAAAGAAAATTTGAAGTACAAGGCAGATTTACCTTGAAAATTCTTGAAACTTTGATGGTTTTGTTAACCAACTTGCCGAATGAATTTTCCTATGAAATTTGACAGGGGAATAGCTTTTATATGGTAGTGTAATACTGCTAATTTTGGTGCCATTTCAAGTCTATTTCAATGTCCAACTGAAGTCCCAAAATTCATGTTTAAATCTGGAAATTCTTGATCGAGGAGGAAATTTTAGCCAACTTTGAGCTGCTATACCTTGGCGTTCAAAACTTCGATTCTTGTTCCGTTTGTTTCGTTTTAAACTTTGATTGTAGCTCTAATTGAGTTCTAAATTTCGGAGGCTAGTTCGTATTGTGTGAATTTTGCCGAATTTTCAAAGTTGGTCAAAAACCAACCCCGAAACTGTCTTAATGGTCTCAAGCAGCAACTTTGAGTCAATTTTTGAATATCTTCCGTTTGGAATCATGGAAAAGTATCTTCTAAGAACTTTTAGTGCTTTTGAAGAAGTTTCCAACGGTATCAAGCTTTCCAATTTTGGACCTACATAGTGCAAGATACGATTTTTCTAAAATTGACACCCAAAGCTGAAATTTGTCAATTTCTTAGAAAATGAGATTTTGGAAACTTGCCTTCTTTTCTCGATACCGATTGAACATTTTGAACTCGATTTCATGGAAAATATTAGTCTCTCTCTTTAGACTTTAAAACTTTACTCTTGAGCCTCGATTATTAATAATTAAGGCCCAATTCATGAATTCTCCTTAGATTGTACAACCTTCTTTGATAAGTAGGGGTTCTAAGTGATAGTGTATAATAGTTAATGGTTATTTGCTCAAGCGCTCAAGGGGTCCTTCAAGAGGAACTCGAAGTGGACGCCTAGACACGTGTTTGAGTATTTACTCTCTTGTTGCAATAGGTGAGTGTTCCATATAGAAATACGTAATTGGAATAAGTCTATGACATGCTTAACCCATGGTCATTAAGTGTTAAGTGCTATATGTTAAGTATTTACCACACTCATGCATATTTGAATAAGGTATACTTAAATTACTCGACATGAAATACTTGAAGTATGTATACTTGAATTACTCGACATGAAATACCTGAAGTATGTATATTTGAACTATTCGATATGAAACACTTGAAGAGCATATTTACGTAACTACTTGAACTATTCGATATGAAATGCTTAAAGAGCATATTTATGTGATTACTTGAAATACTAGATATGAAATACTTGGAGAGCATATTTACATGATGTGTTTAAATGATTAATTATGCTATGACAGCATAAGTCGGTTGGAGTGAATCTCCTCGACTCTTACGTGGTAAAAGTGGAAAACGGCCAATGGCGGCCTATTAAAATGACATATGTCTACCAATTAACCGTAATTACCACCGTTAACCGTTTAACGTTTACCGTTAACCGTGTTTACTTACCGTTTTCTAATCTATGTGGTTACTTGCTTACTTGATTATCTGCTTACGTGATCACCAACTTACTTGATTACTTGACCACCTGATTACTTGATTATCATAAATTATATGCTCATATGAAGTGGGCCACTGTTTTAAGGCGAGTGTGTACTTTATCTCACTCGACCTTCAAACATCTCTAAACTGAACTTGGGCTCTGCCCTTGGTTACTGACCTACTCGAGCCAGGACTGGGCTCGGTCGGGTAGGTTGGAACCCTGAGCCACCGTTTCGGTATATTCGAGTATTACCACTGGAGGGATAAGGTGATGGCCAGACAAATCGAGGGGATCCGAAAGTTATAAGGTGCAGACGACCGACTTGGTTCCACTGGAACACCGTATCCTTCAATGTGTGTTTATTGTGCATACAGATAACTATTTCATACAAATGTGCCAACGTGCAAATCTTGAGTCATACCTGTGACATGCTCAAATTACTCGTACCATGATAATTGTCTCATGTTAATGTGTCATACCTGTGATATGCTCAAAGCACTTGTATAATGATATTTGTCTCATGTTCATGCACCAACGTGCAACCCCGAACCATACATGTGGTATGCTCCCTTTACTTGATTTAATAGAACTGCTAGAGTGTCTTGGAACCTCACTGGGTTGTGTAGCTCATTCCACGTTGTGGATTTCTTTTACAGGGTTTGAGACCAAGAGTGCCCGAGAATAGTACTAGATTGCTTTCTTTTGAAGATCTTCAGTTGTATTATAGCGGATGGCTGTAGTAAATATTCCGTTGGGTTGTATTTAAGCTTGAAAGTTAACTTAATGTAAGTGTGGGATATTTTGGAGTACTTCAATTATGTATTGAAGTTATTTAAAGTATTACGAGTTTTTAAATTATGGATTGTACCGAGTCCTGGCGAGAGTTGGGCAGGCATCCCGCCGATACCCTTAGGTTCTTCCTTGGGAGAAGTGAGGGCGTCACACATTTGATAAACTCTCATTAATCTTATATTAACTTCAGAGATAACATTGAGGTATACTAAGACCACACATTCAAATCTTTTACAATGCCAAGTTTAATACAAAACTTCAGCCGTGACATGATACTAGATAATTTATAATCACAAAAGATTTCATGTTAACTCCCTAAGCTGCCTTGTTCGTTTCTCGACCACCAATCCTATAAGGAAAACAAACTACAAGGTTGAGTTAAAGCTCAGTGAGGTTTGCCGAATAAGTAATATTCAATAAACACTTAACCAATAAAATTAAACAAGTAATGCACATTTCACTGTATAGTCACTTTCAAAAGGATACAACAACCAATTAGCAATATAAAACATTCACCAAACTTAACAGTTCAGGATATCAAATTTAATAAAAGTAATCAATCACCTCAAAGGATACGGTATTGATACGGACTCTAGAGGTGGCTCCCGTCCGTTCTAGACGTAGCACTTAGTTCCGTTCAGTAATTTAGTGTCATTTCAATATCATTGCACACTCATTTCAGTGTCATTGTACATTCATTTCAATATTATTGCACACTCCGCCAATTCACCTCCTTATATCCTCCAAAACAATAAACAATCCCCTACATTCAGTAATCAGTTCAATAATCTCCAAACTTCAAGGTAATACTCGAGTATACCGAAACAGTTACCCAAAACTTCCGTCCTATCCGATCAAGCCCTTTGCTGGCTCGAATAGTCCGTTGAACAGAGGGTTTTGGGGCCCAGTTCAGTCGATGCGGTAAAGTACACATACAGTTTACATTCATGCACACTTACAGTAACATTTAGCCAATTATCAACCTTCAAACTCAACTAAATCGAGTGCGATATAGTACACCCTCGACTTAGAAGGCGAAGGATAATTGAGATACACTTTACAATGAATCACTTAGCAATATTTCATAATAAGCATATTTATCACATAATTTTACTTAAATAAACATAAACAGTTAAACACATAAATTCAGAAACACTCACCAAATATCCAAATAAATTACTCTTGAGCCTCGAGTTTGTTTCCTACCTCACAACTATTCCCTGAGATAAGTATATAAGTCCAAAGTAAATATACAATTTATAGATATTCATTTATTATTTATTACCCATTTGAACTATTAAAATCAAGTTTGACCTTAAAATATAAAATATAATATATTCAATATTTATTCTACATTTCATTTCTTGACTTATTGACCTTATCATTCATTCCTTTTAAAGTTAAATCAAAGGCTAGTTTACCTGTAGTTTAAGTCTCGTTAAATTTATTAGTTTTTTAGTTTTAAATTCCTTAAAATACTCATCAAAATAGTTCCAAGTTGCTATAAGATAGTCCCCATAAATTCACAACCAATTAACCTAAATTTCCAAAATTTCATGAGAGTTTCATTTCTTCCCTCATTCGGTAGCCAAAGCAAGAATTTCAGCTCAAATGTTTATAAATCTCCAACAAATTCCATCTTTCACTTGCTTAAACATTAGTCACTTAGTATACATTCTGTGCAACATGAACTAAGGTGAGTACCTCATAATTTCGTCTAATTGGCTCCCACATTTGCTGTAATTTTCCTCAACAACTCATCAAGCTAGTTTAATTCTTCTTTTCAAAGTATCATAAATCGAGTGGTACAATTTGTATAATTGCATTACTTGTAGCAGTCGAACCTTTAGTTAAGTAAAGTACTAAATTTCTCGTGAAGAATTTGTTTTCAAATTACCACCCCCAAAGGGGCATAAAGTGTACCACAAATTTATGCTATCACTTTGAACATCATTGTCAAATTTCATATCTTGAGATATAAAAGTGGTATGCCCTAGGAGAAGGTGAAGCCGTCTAACTTCTAGGGTATATGCCCTAGGAGGAGGTGGGGCCGTCACAGATACTCTATCATATTTTCCTTTATACTTATTATAAGTATTTTGCTAATAATTTCATTTTATCTTCCATGATTCAAAGTAGCAAGATTTTAAAAGCATTAAGCCAAATTAGCTTGAGAACTTTTTCGATGTTCTTTACCAATCCAAGAAGTCGAAAATATTAAGCATGTTGAGAATAATGCATTATTATTTATAATTTTTATAGCAAGTAGTAAAAGATAAATGAGAATTACTATTCATGAATAATAAAACCAAGTAAAAATGGCATAAAAATTAAGTTTGGTTTTGTTCTCAATATTTTATTTAAATCAACAACCTTCTTGTATAGATTCGAGAATTCAAAGATTTCTAGTAGGCTAGAATCTCATTTTGGTTACTTTGATCTTCACTAAGGCAAACAAGCCAAAAGTAATTTTACAAATAAATACTTATTACCAATTATAACTATTGTAACATATACACAATTGAGTAATCAACTCTTGATAAACCACATCATATGTGTTTCTCAACTTGTGCCTCTATAGCATATCACCTTGATTAGGACTAACAAATTATATATTAGGCATTGGACCCTGCAGCCATCGTGAGGTGCCCATATTGTAATTTTTTTGTGTGTTTTTGGTTGTGATATGGTTGTTTATTAGTAATTGCTTTTGAATTCCATGCATGATATCCATATTAATTTTATAAGAGTTTTTAGAAAGAGTATGTTAAAATTATTTAAATTTGTGTATGGAACTAATAGATGAAAGAATAATATTAATTAAAAATTGCTTTCATGCAATCAAATATTGCATTTTGGGATAGAAGTAATGGTCATTATAATGTTATTGAGTAATGAGGAATATAAAACAAAGTAAAAGGAATGATAAATAGAAGGCTATTATTTTCTTGAATATTATAGCCAGTTCCTTGATAAACAAAGTAGTGTTAGGTTTCTTGAATGAAATCTCAACTAAAAATCTGAATATCATAGTCATTTCGTTGAAGTAATGTGAAGAGAAGGATATTCCCTTCATGCAATGAGTGTCTTTGAGCAAAAGTTAACCAATTGGTTGTTATGTAGTTTTCCTCAATGAGAAGAGTCCATGCTTTTGATCTGTTGTAGCAATTTATAGTGTTATTGACGTTTTTTTTCTATGCAGCAATGTATATCTCCTGGAAACATCTAAAATAATAATATGTATTAACATAAGAATTAATGTGTGATGATGTAGCTAAATTCATGTGTATGATGGAGTAAATTTACCAGATTTTCAAGGTCGTCACATGTGAGGATGACAAAAAATGAGAAGTGTGTCATCAGCTTTTCTGTTTCTGTGAGTAATACTTTGAAGATCATGAAACTTTGTTTAGATAGATGATGATGGATAAATGGTTGCTCAATGTAATTAGCAAGCAAAGTACATGCGTTAAAGGTAATACCACATTCAAGAGACAGTTCTTCATCGTTTTACAGTATATTCCATTCATAATTGATCAAATAGTTGTGCGAACTATAAACTGCCACTCTGAATACCATGTAGCTTATATGTAAAATACATTGCATTGAGTCATGTTGTGGGTTATGATCTTCAACAAATTTGATCATTCTAGATAGTTCGAAACTTGTATCAAGTTGTATCGAGTTTGAAACTTGTATCAAGTTGGAATATATAACTTCAATCATAAGAGCAGAAAGTAGATAAAAACAGATCCATTAAGAGCAAGAATATGAGCAATAAATACAGGTGCATTCACTGTATAGTTGGAGTTGAACAACACCGAGGAATGTAGTAAGAAAAGAAGATGAATCATGAACACCAGAATATCAAAAACAATTATAACTTGATATGATTAAAGACGAAAGGAAGAAGGAGAATAAGAGCATTTAAAGGCAGGGAAATGTCTTACCCAAGTGAGCGCAAAGTAGACAAAGCGAAACAGAGAGGACAAAAAAATGGCACAAAATGAAGGCTTAAAAGAAAAGAGAAACGTCTAACTGCATAAAGTAATAATCCAAAACGAATATAATAGTTGCAATCCCACTATTAAGAAAAGTCAAAGCAAAAATATAACGGTGAAAAGGTCAATAAAGGTAGTATATAGTAAAATAATGATTGAGTTAAGGACATGCAACCATTAAATGTAGATTTGATAGGTAATCTTTAACTATATAAAGAGCATGTGTTTTGGTTGAACCAAACACGTGCAAGCATTAAATGTAGATTTGATAGGAAAATATATAGCAAGGAAAAGTAAATCTCTAATAATTGCAACTCCATCATTGCAACAACCTGCAAAAGAACCTAGCGAAACATAAGAAGATATTATTGGCAAATGACAAAAAAGGGTAAAATGCGTCAAGAAACAACCATTAAACCAGCGGAAAAAGAATAAGATTGGAAATAGGAACCAAAATTGAGAATTGCAACGGAGAAAACCAAAGGCACCTGACCCCACAATGAGGTCCATGGTAGGTAAACAAACAAAGGAGGACAAAATAAACATTCAAATTACAAAGTAAGCAGCAAAATTTATTATTCCCAACCCTTCAGCGGTTTATGTATTTAGAGATTATAATTAAATCTAATCCATAATTCCAATATCTCATCTCATAATAAAAAATACCATTGATAGAGTACCCTTTATTGAGATGAACAAAGTAACAAAGAACAAGAATTCATGTTTTAAACTATAATAATGGAAGAAAACTTATGTCTTGACTTAATATTGATTAGAGCAATTTAGACAATTGTAATTTAAAGTTGGTCTCATCAAGTATATATAGGTAGCATGTGTATCCATTCATCAACATAAATAAATAAAATATTATAAGTAAATATAAATGATTATGGACTTTTCCCTAAACTAGTTTCCTTGACCCAAAAGGAAACGTGATGGTCAATCTGAGGGAGAAGAAACATCTCTATACTTTTGTACACTTTTTGTATATTAACCATGGTAGAATTGGTGCCATCTCTATCTCCTTTGTATATCACAAAAGTA